CAGACCGTGACAGACAGCCTCCATAAACCAGCGCAGACCGGGATACACAGCTTCTAAAGAGTATCAGAAGGTGTGACAGAAGGTCTTGAGAGATCATCACAGACTGTGACAGATAGTCATCAGAAGCTATCACAAACTGACAGATAGGGTTCAGATGTAGCACAGCCCGTTACAAACCATCTTCGAGTCTAGCACAAATCATCATACTCAGTGACAAATAAACTTTCTCACAAAATCAATAAAAACTTCATAACATAGGCCATTCTCATGTGATTGCGAGCAGTGACTATATCGTATTTCACGCTTTTAATCCCAAAGGGATTGCGCTGACAGCTTTTTTTATTGGTAGACTCTTGATGTAGGAAAGTGATGCGACCGCATGGGAAAAGAAAAATTTCGACAGTATCATTTAACTACGTACCAGAGCCAACCAAGAAAAAAATTATACTGGATACGTTTAAGTTTGGATTTGAGTTATTTCTCTTTTTCCTTTTAGTCTTCTACTAAATCAAACAGTTCATCGAGTCATTCGCTATTTTATGCCGCGATAGCTGATTAGTATAGTTCACAATTATTGAAATAAGTGTGAAATATTAAAATTCTGTTATTGGGCTGGAATGCATGCCAATTCATTGTCATTGTAAAAAAATTGTAGTATACTAGGCACGACCAAAAGGATTTATGACAGTGCTAAACCTTTTACCATATATTGATAAATTCTTTTATCATTTATTATAATTTTCCTAAACCCTTTTTGGTAGAGTATAGTATTCCACGACTTTTTTTACAGTGAAGTATTATGTACAATCTAAATATTGAACTAGTTTTTCGACAAATATTATCAATTCCAGATTGCTCAGCAAAACATTTTTTATATAGAATTATCGAAAAAAAAATGCATCCATGCAATTTTTACAAATGAGATTAAATATCCATGTAAATTATGTTTTGCCTCGAAATCCGTCTGAAACGCGTCTCCAATGAAACATTCATAGCGTCTAGAAGCGGTGCATATAAAGTATGAAAAATTTCAAGAATATATCAGAATCCATCTCAGATTCTCAGATTCGAACTGAGTACACACCAGAGATGTCTACAGGGTAGTTTTTCACCCTGTCCTGCCCTGCACCCTGCCTGCTCTCCCCTGTCCTGTTGAAAAAAACTGAATAAAGTTAAGATGCGTTCTGTCCCTGCTCTGTCCTGTCGATTTTCAGCAAGGCAGGACAGGGTACCCTGCTGAATTGAAATAGTGTCTGTGTTGTAATTTTTGATATATTTCAAAATAAAAAGACATGTTTCTCATTGTACCATAAAACAATTTTTTGTTTTAGAGCCAGTTCAGACAAGCCATGATCGACCCTTCTTAATCAGCGGTGGTCGATTTAATCGATACTTTTATGATGATAGATGCAAGTGTTTGATGAATTCATGCGAAAACTGTTTCAAAAAATCTTGCTCCATTCTTGAGACATTAAATTTTTCTGAGGCCTATACTTCTTAAAGAAAATATTCATTTTACTTGAAATTTTCAATATAGATCTATTGCTAGTTGAGATATTTTCCTGAAAATATGAGCTCAAACTGATCGATTATTGATGAGTTGACCTCGAGTGGCAGTAACATTGAAAAAACTCTGTTTTTTTTTGTATTTTGTGGATATTACTGGCGAGCTAAAATTTTAACCACAGAGATCTCATTGACTAGGTCTGATAAAAAAATTAGTTCTCCAGCTAGTTTCATTTTTGTATGGAATCCTCATGAAAAATGTGATTTCTCCATCACCATGATTTTGATGAAAATCGCATTTTTGCAACACCTTTCGATCGATGAGGACTAACAGGAGAGCTAAATTTTTTATCAGACTTAGTCAAGGAGATATCTGTGGTTAAAATTTTAGCTCGCCAGTATTATCTACTAAATGAAAATGTACATCCACAAAATACAAAAAAAACAGAATTTTTCAATGTTACCGGTGCTCGAGGTCAACTCATCAATAATCGATCAGTTTGAGCTCATATTTTCAGGAAAATATCTCAACTAACAATAGATCTATATTGAAAATTTCAAGCAAAATGAACACTTTCTTGAAGAAGTATAAGTCTCAAAAAAATCACGAATCAGTTAATTTTTGATGAGGATGCTCTTAGAAAACTTTTATTATCTCGAGAATAGAACAAAATATTTTGAAATGACTTGTGTGGAAGTGGAAACTCACGAAACACTTGCCTCCATCGAGCGTAAAAAACGAATCAACCGGCGACCATTGATTGAGCAGCCTCAGTGAAAACGGGTCGTGGCTTATATGGACCAGGTCAGATAGAGAAACTTCTGACTATCAGTTTGTGTCACTCTCTGGAGTCTATTTTCTTAGTTTTGAGTCTTGCGAACTAAAGGAAGAATTTCTTCAGAACGGAAATCCAAACGACTGGGTTTTCACTTTGCAGGGTAAGGCCTCACTCTGTCCTGCCCTGCAATTTCACTCGCCTATCCTGTTCCTGTTCAGGATAGGGTTACCCTGCCCTGTGGACATCTCTGGTACACACCATCAACATTTACCGATGATTTTTACCTAATCTGCCAAATTAATTGAAATTTGTTTTACGCGATGGTGATTTTAGAGTCGAACAGATGAACCAGTGATCAGAAGTTGTTCACATGTACCACTTTGCTATACTAGCTTGAAATCTTTTCTCGTTCAAAATAATATATATTTAAATGAAAATTTCATTGCTTAAATAGTTTATTTCAATAATACATGCTTTTTTCGAAGTAAGAGATTTAACACAGCGTGATTGTTCACTTCTTTTTTTATAATTATATTTTTTTGTCATTAAAATGATTTCTTTTTTTATCGCCTAATAAACGTGACTAATATTATGAAAAATTTTTAACTCCGCTGGTTACATGATATATAATTTTATCGGAGGATTTAGTGAATAAATATTCATTCATACTATTTATTTAGAACTATGATAAAAGTTGCAATCACGTAATTCAAACAGTAGTATATGTATCTATCAGTCTGCTTAAATAAAATTGAATAGCTAAAAACTATTGCGATTTTGTCTCACTAATACTCATACAAACTTTAGTGAAATATGGATTATATGATTTATGTTTATTTAACCCTTTGAGTCCCGGCTGTTTTTTGAAAAAAAATCGAAAATTTCTAATGAAATTTTACATATGACCTTTATTCTTTATAAAGAAACTATATTTTTGTCCCAAACAGTCATTAGAAGCAGAGTTGCAACCGGTAACGGTAAACGGCCGCCCGGTCTAGGATTCCTTAACAGCAGGAACCGGCCGGTACAAGCGACTTTTTTCAGACCGACCTCGTCTAGATTTTTGAAAATTATTTTCGCTTTTTTCCCTTCTTTTTTGCAAAAATAGATGATGAAAGTGTTTTGTTTTGCATATCAAGCTAGTTTTTATGACATTAGGGACGATTTCTAAAAAAAATTATGAGATATATTGTTTATATTAAATCAATATTTATCAAAAGTGTATTTCTTAGGGATGAAGGAGAAGTCTTGAATAGCTGGTATAGTGATTCCGAGTACGATATGACTGATATTAAATGAAAAAACGCAATGGTGACTCATATACGATCAAAAAAACAACTATGACTCATGCCGCTCTACCGGCCGGTCCGGTCCGGTCCGCTGTGACCGGTCTAGAAAAATCCCTACCGGTTGCAACTCTGATTAGTATTTCATCTTTATCGTACTCTTTGAAGCAGTCAACACTACATAGAGGTGCATCGTAGTCAGGGTGAATATATTTTCTGTCACTACCAGTATTATGCGATGGGTGTGGGTGTCACTCTCTTGTTACACCGACAGCGACACTCACACCCAGATCCAAACTCACACCCACACCCAAACCCGTAAATTTCCCGCGGGATATGCCTAGGCATGCACCGAACCCGGGAAGTTCGGACTCGGTGCATCCGTATATACGACTGGAAAGAAGACGGTAATGTCCGTCGTATTCCGAAGGGGAATGCTGATTCCGTGAAATTGCGGGAATGCGCGGAAACCGGGGGTTTCCTGCCCGGTTTGTTCGACCTGGGTGTAATTAGGAATATGGTGCAGATGTGAGTGTCAGTTTTCTTTAACCCTCAGGCCAACGCAGGACGTGAATATCACACACACACGAACGACACTGCTATCCGCACCCATAGCGAAACACTCACGCTTATTTGTATCGTTAAATTGCGCCTCATCTCAAAATCTGTTTTTTTCATACAATATCAAATTCTTCCAATGTGTATATGATTTATCAGATTAGATAAGTGTGCACCTGTATCTCTCAAAAATATAGAAGAAGTGAGATACACATGATTCTACCTTTTCGTCATATTTTGTAATGTCTAATTTAGAATATTATTGGGGCGATGCATCGGTTGAAAACAATCAATATGATAGCAGTGAAATGGAAACTGATTCATCAGAAATTGCTTGTGAGTCAAATGATGAAGAAGAACATACGCTGATCCAGTTGGATGATGAATCTGATAAGGTTAAATTGCAAGCAGGCAATCAGTTAATTTTCCAATTAGAACAATTTAACAGACAGTCAACTGCTTCCGTACCGCTAACACCATTGGCAGACGGGACAAATTCATTGAAAGCAACAGGATCAATTGTTTTAGATAATAATGTTTTCATCATTAGTCTTATAGGTGATACTAAGAATGGTAAAAGTTTTTTAACTAATCACTTACTTCCATTCACCGCAATGAGTCACCCTTTCGTCTTAGACGAAGAACAAGGTGGTGGTTCGACGACAGCTAATGTTAACTGTTACGAATCAATCTTATCTATATCAGTTCCTCATGCATCCAGCTTCTTGTTACTGGATTTCGAAGGAGAAAAAGGTTCATGGATCCCGTATATGTTGAGACGTTTGCGCAAGGTATGGACAGCTGAACGTTCTGAAAAACGACGGAAGGCTGTTGAAGAATATTTCCCTAAGCTGGCCTACACGCTGAGTAACGTCATTATTTTATTAAGTCGCGACGATTTCAGCAACCATGACTATATAGAGCGGTGTTACGATTTCGCTACGCGTGCAACAAAAAAATTACAACATATTCCACACAAGCCAATACTTATTCTGGTACATAATTTTTACACAGGTAGCAAAGTGGGAAACTATGAAGAATTAACAAAAGAATTTTTTACAATACATAAGGGCGATGCGATAAAGTTACGATGTTTCTTTGAAGCTGTTTTTTGTGTGCGATTACCAGTGAAAATGAAACATATCCCAACAGCTTCTCAGACTGTCGCTAGTAACACATGTTTTACCAGTCAGATAGATGAATTAAACGCACTATTAGCTAAAATCCAAAACAAACATATGGAGCGTTGCATGCCACATAGCAAATGGCTCGAATTGACTAAACTTATTCTCGATATTGTATCCGATGGCAAGGCAGTAATGATGCACACATTGCTACGACAAGTGATTGTAAAAGATCCTGGTGA